ATTATTTTGACGAGCGCCTGATTCTATCACAATACCGTACTGCTTAAAAAGGTTAGATCCTTGTATTTCAAAGCCAGGAACCGTAAAGACTAAGCCAAGTATCTTGAAAACCATGAAAGTTCCCGACTTCAAAAACGGCCCGTTGTGGAATTTAAAACAGGGCCATTCACATGACGACAGGCCTAGCAAGTTGGTAATGGATTAATTTCTACCAAAAAAAATTTAAGAAAGGTGAAAAGCCACTCTCCATCTAGTGATACTTGTTTGTTCGTTTGTTTGTTTGTTTGTTTGTTTATTTGTTTGTTTTTTGTTTTAGCAGAGGTTTTACGGCGTTCGCAACTGCATGAGGTCATACGAGCGCCAGAAGATTAGAGGTGTTACAAGAGAGTAACAAACATAAAAAAGAAGGAGAGGAGATAAGGACAATAGATGTTTGATAGGAAAGAAGAAGCAAACAACACCAGAGCACCCGCCAACCACCCACATTTGTTCGTTTGTTTGTTTGAGTAAAAAGAAGCACATCAACCCAATAACGGTCATTTAGTGCTTGCAAAAAGTGTGACAAACAGACAAAAACAACTAAGGAAAAGTACATACCTAGGGCCTACTAGTGGCGCTCTTCAACCACGTGCTATAATGGATTAAATTCTGCTAAAAATCATAGAAATGAGGAAAACACATCAACATCTAATGATACAAGATGAAAGATAATGTAAAATAAAGTCTTCACAGCATTTAAAACACAATTAGGTCATAATATAATGGTCGCTTATAAGGACAAATGGGCTAACCCAGATTTCTGGGGTTACCAGACAGTGTGATAAATTCAACATGAAAATAAGCACATCAAAAACAGAGGTTATGAAAGTGAGCCGAAACAATAGTCCCCTGAATATCCATGTCAATAGTAAGCAACTGAAACAGGTGAGGGAGTTTAAATATCTTGGCTGCACTTTTTCTGAAAACGGATCCATAGACAGAGAAATAGAAATGCGAACTCAGAACGCCAACGCTGTCACCTACCAGCTTGCACCCCTTCTCTCTCATCCAAACATCTCCATGGACACAAAGAGACAGCTTATCACCTCAATATTCATACCAACTTTAAGTTATCAGTGCCAGACCTGGACCTTAAGCAAAACCCATGAAAGCAAAATCACCGCATGTGAAATGAGATGTCTTCGCAAAACCCTTAACATCACCAGACGAGACAGGCAGAAAAATGAAGTAGTAAGAGCAGCTATCGGCATTGAGTCCTGCCTGTGTTACATGGAAAGACAGAGGATAAAATGGTTTGGCCTCCTGTTACGCATGTCACCTGACCAGCCAGCCTTGAGAGCCTACAACACCAAGCACTCAGGCTATAAAGGAAGAGGAAGGTCACGCAAAAGGTGGATCGAGGGTGTCAAGGAAACCCTAAGAAAACATAACATCACAACTGAAAGAGCTGCAGAGCTGGCCTACCATAGAAAACTGCATCTCCCCTCGACGCTTAACGGCAACAGAGGATGAAAACATAAAAGTAAGCAAGTACCAGAAATCTTAACCTACACCAAAAATGGGCATTGCCCTACCTATAGGAGACGTTTTGCTGTATTGGTGGGTATAATTGTTTGGTAACATTGAAAACTCTCCTCGTCTTTTAAAGAAACTGAACAAGGATCGACAAACTTAACCTTCGATTTTCTTAAAACAGCATTTTTCGTGATAGCCCCTTTGTGCTTAAAAGCGATCATATAAGTACCGGCATGCCTTCCACCCATTCGGCGATATAAAATGAAAACACCACAGTCCTAACCCTATTGCGTCTGTGGTTGGCGGGGGTGATGTGGTACGGTTCGCTCCTTATTTCTTGCAACACAATTAGGTCATGTAAGTGCCAAAGATTAAAAGCTTTACAAGAGAGTAACAAACATAAAAAGGAGGAGGAGAGATAAGGACGATTGGTGTTTGTTTGGAAAGAAAAAAAACCCACACAAGAGCACCCGCCAACCACTCGCTTGTCTTCCTAAAAAACCCATGAATCGCCTATCACTACAGTAGTAAAGCCCTTAGTACGTACCCGCGGGCTCTTTCTCAAGCACATCCAGCGGAAGTGGGCGTGCCGGAAGCACGCAAGGGGCACTGCTATCTGGTGAACAGTTTTATGATGGGGAGATAATCGATGGTCATATTTGTCAAGGTCAGTGAGCACGATATTGGATCGGAAAGCCTACACTAGTGCTGAGGAGGTCAACATTCTTTGTGTTTTTGATTGTTTTGTTGTTTGTTTGTTTTTTGCTGTGTTTTGCTGATATTTTTGTTGCTTTTTATCATTCGGTTTGTTCTCTGGGGCAGGCGGGAGTGGGATTAACATTTTTAATATTTACGCCCCAATCAACACAATTTATCTTCAGAAGGTTTGCCACTTCGACTTTGATCGTCACGGCTTACGTGGGGCTCAGTGAAAAACAAACGACAGCACAAGAAATAGTTTTTAGTTTAGTTTTAGTAGAGGTTTTACGACACTCGCAACTGCAGAAGGTCGTATGAGCGCCAGAAAATTAGAAGTGTTACAAGAGAGTAACATGACAAGCATATAAAAGAAGAAGGGGAAATAAGGACGAAAGATGTTTGATAGGAAAAAAGAAGATAACCACATCAGAGCACCCGCCCACCACCCGCGCACAAGAGATAGATCTACTCGCAAAACAGATTTCCCAATAAACGAATTGAAATAGAGTCTTGTACTTCCCTGTAAGACGAGAGATTAACCATTTCACCGCAGACAATTGTTTGTTTAGCTCCTATAAAATATAATTGCTGTAAGCATTCAATGACACAAATAACAACGCTCAACTGTTGTTGTTGTTTTGTTTTTTTTGTAACCATTTCACGGCACTTGCAACACAGTTCGGTCACTTAGGTATCGAGGATCAGAGGTATTTAGAGAGTAGCATACACAAAAGAGGGTGAGGGAGGATAAAGACGACAGATATTTGATTGAAAAGAAGGAGCAAACCACACAAGAGCACACACAAAGCCACCAGAATTTGTTTAGATTTTTTTCTGCATACTTAAGCAAAAATAAAAGCTCCGTTCGACTATATTTTGAAAGTTAAAGCGAATAATTTCCTTAAGCATTTTAGGTCTGGACAGTGACAGGTTGATTAATTTATCTAAAGCACTGTTTATTTTGACCCCGAATGAAACGGAAAAAAGAGCTAATAATGTTTAAGGACTATAGCACCTTGACAGACGATCTTAAAGCAATGTGCGTTGTACAACTTTGCCTTTGCGGTCCACCTTGAGGAAGTAGAAGTATTAATCTATTCCCTCTAGATCTTGAGTTGTTGTTTTTTGTCTTTGTAAAATTTTTACGGCGCATGCAGCACAATAAGGTTAAATAAATGCTGAAGATAAGAGCTGTAATTAGAAAGTATCAGACACAGAAAAGGAGGGGGAGGGATAAGCACGATAGATGTTTAATAGGAAAGAAAGAGCGAACCTCACCAGGGCACTCGCCAACCACCCGCCTTGAGAGCTTGAATCGCTTGCCATACCCCAAAGGAAACACATGGTCAATACAAATGGAATCAAAGAAGGCATAATGAATGCCATGTAACAAGAGTGCTTAGAAATATCTTCTGTACTAAAAAAAAGAGAGAACACGCGTCCTCTTTAAGTAGGTCAACGTGTTTAATCACTACCAAAGAGGGAGTGGTCAATAAAGTCAGGGACTATACGGTAGATTTCTATGTCTTCGAGTGACTTTTTCTAGCGCATAGAGCCTAAACCATCACAAAGTAGAAATGTGTTCCCCTTACTGAGTTTATTTGTTTGTTTGTGAGTTTATATGTTTGTTTGTTTGTTTGCTTGTTTGTTTGGGGGTTGTTGTTTTTTGTTTGAATAAAAAGAAACCCATCGACTCAATAACTGACATTCAGTGTTGGGAAAAAGTAAGACAGAAACAGCGAAGGGATAAAAAAGAAGTGTAGCCTACAGATTAAGCGCCGAATGACCACTCACTCACTCGACGGAAAACACACGTAGAAGTTCTGTAGTCAAAGTAAATCAGTCGCATAAAATTAAACTCTTTAGAAATCGGCCACAAACTGAAGGAGATCAGTATTCCACATGACTTACGCCGAGCCTAAACAGTCCGTTAAACATCAACAACGAATGGAAAAATCAAGGGAGATAACATAGCATTTAAATCGAGTATATTTTAAGCCCTTTGCTTTTTCGTGTCAATGTGATCCTGACAGAGAGAGAGAGAGAGAGAGAGAGAGAGAGAGAGAGAGAGAGAGAGAGAGAGAGAGGGGGGGGGGGCAGGGGGTTGAGAAGAGAGAGATGGCTTAAGAGAGAGGGAGGGAGTTTGAAAGAGCAGAGTTAGAGAAAGAGAAAGAGAGAA